TCATTTCTGTAGTAGGCTGTAAACTGCTTGAGACTTGCATAAAAAGCACAGTTTGTTTCATTTGTATCTTTTTATTCTATTGTATGTGTCCTTTGCTTTTTGTTTTGTTTTGTTACGGACAGTTTAATTATTTTCAGTAATTTTGAGAACTTTGCTTGTTTGAAATTCCGCCGGTCTCCAAGCAACCTTATTTACAGGAAATATATATTTGATAACGTATCACTATATCTTTAAATAAATCACTCGTGCAAAGTTTTGGTCATATGGCCCCCTCATAATAGTGATTACAATATTGGCCAAAATAATCTTGATTGTGATTTTTGCCATAATCGAGCAGCCCTAATTCATTCACTAGTTTGTTTTTCTCCGATTCCTGATGTGTTGATTTCTGCTCCTGCAGATTTTGAAGCCGGCAGAGAAGAAGAAGCCAAACTCCAGTCGTCCAGTGACTCCTCCCAGGAACGTGGTCACCAAACAGGCCAAGAAATGAGGCTCGCGCGAGCCGGCCGGACTTGTATCATACGATTCTTGACCTTGTGTTTTCCTCGTTTACCGTCCCGAGCCTTTTAATCTCACATACGGCTTTTTATTCCCACTTCAGGACGATGAATCAGTTTGACACAGCGTCTCCTCGCATAGAAATCCAGGAGGAACGCCACGTTTAAGATGCAAACCACTGTGAAACAACCAGTCTGGTTTTTTTATGCACCGGAAGCTTTTTTGTATTTTGGTCTCGTGAGTGTGCCACGAGTTTTGACATTCAGTCCGCTTTTATCATTTAGATTTTTTACTTTTTTTGTTTTCATGATCGCAAACGAACGGATGTTGTGCGAGTGTGTGAACTGAAGCATCACGTTTCTGTGTTTTTGACGCGATGCCTTGTTTTCTTCTTCTTGGGTTCGGGCATGTTGATGTGCCGGACGTTTCTGTTGCATGCGTTAGTGTTCGAGGAATAGGACACAAGGCCGTGGCGTTCTCTCGGGGCATGTCTTCAGAATAATGTAGCTCCTCATCAGGTGAATCACGTCAGGAAAACCTTTTTCTTGCAAATTTCTACAGTATTTCATATAAATTCTGTTTAACCCAAACTTTCACTGTAAATATACAGGATATGTTTTGTTCAGTCTTGGCAATAATTAAGTTTTCCACTCTATAAATAATTGTTATACTTGCAGAATAAATCGAAGGGAGATGGAAACACCATTGCAGCGTTCGTTTGTTCATTTCAGACATGCATGCGATTTAAAGGTGAAATTAAAATGAATTCGGAGCTAGGTTCACTAATCATAAAACTAAATTCTCTCTCTTATTTCATGACTTGAGATTTATTTTGTATTCCCAACAATACTTTTAAATTGTTCTCAAGAGGTTAAAAATTATATAAACATCACAACTGTTCTTAAATGAGCAAATGTAAGTTGTTCAATTATGTTTAAAAAAATGAAGATTGAAAAACTAAGAAATTAAATGTTCTTAAGAAAAAACTTGATTAAAAACGTTGTTCTTAAAAATACTTCAGAACTTGGATGTTAAAATATTTAAGAACTTAAATGTACTAAGCATTTAAGATTAAAAAACTGTTTTTAGAGAAATATCTGCGAGCTTAAAAAGTTGCTTTTAGGAAAATATTTAAGAACTGAAAAGATGCATTTAAAAAATATTTGAGAACTTGAATGTTCTTAAGAAC